AAATCCACAAACTCTTTCTTCTTTACTTTCCGCTATATTGATGACAAACACTTGATTTTTGTTTTGAATGAAATGCTTCCATTAGCTGACTTCGACCATGTGTTTTATGAGCTTTGATCTCTGAGTCTTTCTGGGTTCGATGCTTGAAATCTTATTCTCCATTAGTTTCTGGAAATCGAGAGTATAGTTTGTCAAATTACCGTTTCATATAACAAACCATTGTAATGTGTAGTTCAGTTCTGGGGTATGTCAATGGGGATCATGAAATAGTTTAACTTGGAAGGCTTCTTGTATAATCATTCGTAACACTTCTCTCTTCTGATTCAGGATCGAAGCTTGGATTGGGATATAATGGATGAATCTCTTGAGCAGCAAAGTGAAACACATGGTACATAATAATTTCTCTCCTTTCTGGTGCTATTTATTCTCTTTTCTGAATGCTTTGACTCCACTATGTTCGGTTTCAGAGTTATTAGCCACAAATACATCTTTTGTTTCATAGAAAATTTGGAGTTTTTCTGTTTCCATATTCAATTGAATGCTTTGTGTAGAGTGGAAGAATTTTTCTTAAGATGATAAACTGCTTTTGAAATTAAGTGAACTGCTTTAGTTTATATCGTATTGTGATCTTGAAATATTTATAAGATTTATGCTGGAGGAAATAACTTCTGATTATTTGTTAAGAACGGATAATGACTGCTATATTTTCCTACTGTATCATTTGGCTCAAGACCAAGAGAACGAAATAGTTACTGAAGGTAGTGCTGTTGTGCATGGTGAGCCTTCTCAAGATGATAGTGTTCCCCCTAAAGTTGATAGTGAAGCTGAGGTTCTGGATGAGAAAGTCAGTAAGCAGATCATAAAGGAAGGTCACGGTTCCAAACCATCCAAGTACTCGACATGCTTCTGTAAGCTCTCTTAGCTTTCTCTTGATCAGATGCTCTAAGTTCCCTTTAAAAAGTTTTGGGCTTACTGGTTTTTTCTTGTACTTATTGTTACTGATTTATCTTCCTTTCTGTGGTGGAGTCTCTTGATTGAGTTCAGGAATTTTGTTAGTTGTTATCCTTGATATGAAATTGCAATTATCGTGCTATAAGAGGGTTCTTTGCGTAGAATAGGGTTGACATGTGGTATAAGTTTGGTGAGCTGCTGGTTATTGATAAAACAATTACCTGACATGTTTTCTCTGGGTTTGATGGTTGGTGAGGAACACTTAAGCCAACGTGTCCTTGAGAAAATCTTCTACAAGGTTATCCATTTGTTTGAATTTTCTATCTGACCAAATTCTTATTGGCCATAGTGCACTATAGGGCGTGGACTAAACACACGCAGCATAAGTTTGAGGATACATGGAAAGAGCAGCAGCCTATTGAATTGGTTCTAGGAAAAGGTATGTGGCTATCAGTTATATACTCTAACTCTACACCTCTTTCTCGTTGGATGCACCATCATTGGTAAATTGCTGAGTCAGCTTGCTTTGCATGTGAACCTATTGAAAAATTATATTTGGGAGGAAAGAAATTGAGTTATTTTTTTGCTCCAAAGAACTATAGAAACTTTTTAAACGAGATTGTGGACTACGTAGTGAAATGCTGTCTGTGAGACAGAGAAAAAAGAACTGGCCGGTTTGGCCATCGGTGTTTCTAGCATGAAGTCTGGTGAACGTGCACTCGTGCATGTTGGCTGGGAATTGGGATATGGGAAAGAAGGAAACTTTTCTTTTCCGAACGTTCCACCTATGGCGGACTTGTTATATGAGGTTGAAGTAATTGGATTTGATGAAACAAAAGAGGCAAGTTTATTTCTTCAACGTCATCTGATAGTGTCTTGTTTCCCTATCCTGAAAATCCACAAGACCAAGCTTTTTCCCAAGCTCAATCTTACAGCTGACTTAGAGGATGGATTGTACAGGGAAAGGCTCGCGGTGATATGACTGTGGAGGAAAGGATTGGTGCAGCAGACAGAAGGAAAATGGATGGGAATGCTCTGTTTAAGGAGGATAAACTAGAGGAGGCCATGCAACAGTATGAAATGGTTATGGATCTGTCTGTTTTCCTAACAATTACGGTCAAAGTTTTGGTTTTCAGGCATACTCCGTGAGTCTGCTCGAGGCTCTTGTTTCTCCTTTCGGCTCTTGACAAGTCATGGATTTTCTGTCTCAGGCCATTGCATACATGGGTGACGATTTTATGTTTCAGCTGTATGGGAAGTACCAAGATATGGCGTTGGCAGTTAAGAACCCGTGTCACCTAAACATAGCAGCTTGCCTGATCAAGCTGAAACGATACGATGAAGCGATTGGTCACTGCAACATTGTGAGACCCATCAAGACATTCATTTGAAAGAGATCATAATTTTTCGTATCGGGTTTCTTGAAATCTAATCAAAGCTGTAAAAACTTGTCAGGTGTTGACAGAAGATGAGAAAAATCCAAAAGCGTTGTTCAGAAGAGGGAAGGCAAAGGCAGAGCTAGGACAGATGGATTCAGCTCGTGATGATTTCCGAAAAGCACAAAAGTATGCTCCCGATGACGTAGCGATTAGAAGAGAGCTAAGAGCAGTTGCAGAGCAAGAGAAAGCTGTGTACCAAAAGCAAAAAGAGATGTACAAAGGAATATTTGGAGGGAGAGAAGAAGGTAATGCTAAGGCAAAGAGCCGTAACTGGTTGATAATGTTATGGCAATGGTTGGTTTCTCTTTTCTGCCGGATCTTTCGACGTCACAGAGTTAAAGCAGATTAAGGTATGAAGAAAGCTTTTTTTAACAAAGTTAAACTATAAAAAAAGACCAAAAGTGAAATGATCAACTCTCATTTCTTCTATGTTGCAATGGAATCTTTTAATCTTTCTTAATGATTTATGTGAAGAATTTACAAAACCCAATTAAGAATTGGGGTAGAAGTAAGCTAAACTACCATGAAGGATTGGGGAGATTGACATGTCGCCAGGCGAAGTAAGCACAAACCATTAGCTGAGAGATATAAACATAAACTGCAAAAGAGATACTCATAAGCATCAAATCCTTAATGTCTCCTTTCTTCTCTGGCTTCATCATCTTCCCAATCTTCTCAGCCTCTGAAACAATCTTTGCCACTGTTCTTTGGATCAGTCCTTCGCTCTCGTCCGGTGATTTCTGCTTCCGACAAGACGTCACAGTCAGGAATCTGATAGCGTGTCTGCTTCGGGCTTGTCTCTTTGTACGGTAGTTGTGGTGTGTGTAGAGTGGGTGGTAGAAGGTGGAGAGAACCGCCATGAGAGAAGGTGAATAAAATAATTGAAGAAAATTTTTGTTTTGAGAATCAAAAGTGAGTGAGAAAAAATATCTGAATATTGATAGGATGAGGACAAAGATGGGTGGACAGATCTAATCTAACGCACACAAACTCCAAACGGAAGCGATAAATGGCAGAACGGTCCAAATAATAACACAAATTTATACGTATACGGTATATATCTAACGCACTGTCCGATTCAAAGCTGAAGTAAGATAAGAAAAATAAATTGTACTTTTTTGGTTTAGGTCA